ATTGCCAGTAATTCTTACAGCATGAGAGAAGAGGTTGATGACATGCATCCTAGAACGTAGGACACTTTAATCCTGTGCATTTTAGGGTTGAACTGAACTTTTTCACCCTGAAGTTCTTCTTGACTAAAAATACATTAGTGGCAAGGAGCGTTCATCTTCCTCTTGCTGTGAGACAGTGGATACCAGAAACAATCTGCTTTTATGTACCTGAGACATCAGTCTGCTGGGGTACTTGTTGGGCTGGGATGATTGCTGACCACTGCTTAGATGCTGTTTTGGAATAGGAGGGAGAAACATTGTCACATGGATGGTGCATCGGGGTTGGAGAAGAATCCCAGGTCCTCAGGAGGTGGCCAGAAGAAGTTTGCCCTCCTTTTCTATATTGCCATCTCCTCGTCTCACCCTAGCCTTGCAGGGCTTGTCTTACTGCCAATCCCCTGGGCAATTCCCCTTCTTTTCTTGCTTCCTTTCCTGCTCTTGGTAGCTCCTGCAGCTCCATCATGAACATCTGCTGTAGGAGCAGGCGAGCTGAAAAAACGAAACAGCCCGTGCCACTTCCCCAGAGCTCTCAGCTGTGCAGCTTTGAAGCCGAGCGTGCATGCATGCAACATACTCTTTGTGGCCATGCTTTTAAAAGTCTTTCTTTGTTCCCCCAAGCAACTCTAACAATAAAGTCTCCTTTGTTCTTCTTGCTGCGAACAGGGTGATACTGCACTGATACTTCTGGGCAAGCATTTTGGCAGGGAAGGTAGGACCTGCCCTGCAAGTTCACACATCTGGGATGTCCAGCTTTGCTCCTTCTCAAAGCCTTTCTATGCCGTCTGTTAAAACTACCCGCCAGGCTCCTGCCAAAATGGAGTCAGGAACTCTTGATTTCCATTTTGGGGTGGTGGGGCCATGCCCTGTGCATGGACGCTGCATGGCCAGCTCCGTGTGGTGTCCAGAAGTCCCAGTGCTTCTGTGTGGTCCTTTGGCTTCAGAAGATGTAAACGATGGCCAGAGAAGTTGCAATTGAGATGTGGGATGGGGAGAAGTTCCTGCAGCAGATGGGCAGAAAGTGTGGGCAGGTCTCATTAACACTGATGCTCATTAGCAACAGAGCTCGTCAGCCCCATGGCTGCATCCATCTCCAGGGTTTCACTGGGGTGGGGTTGACTTCTGCTAGCCTCATGCTCAGTTTTGCAAATACATACAGGGCTGGAGAGACTTTGGCTTCTCTGACCAACAAGGGCATATGGAGAAGAGAGTTGTTTTGTGAGACAGCTTCCAGCAGCCAGTGTGGCTGTGTTTGAGTCCACACAGGCAGGATATGCTTCCTGTGTGTGAGGGAAAGCCTCACCCCACTGTGCATGTGTTAGGGCGGAAAAAAAGCCCTGTTCCTGAGCAGGCTGCTGCGCTGCCACCAGCCCCATGGCCACGTGCACTGAAGCACCGGCAGCAAACCCCAACGTGGGCTGACTCCTCTTGCCTGCGCAGCCGCCCCTGCTGTGAGGCCCAGGTGGTGGATGGCAGTTAAGGCTTAATGAGGACTTTTTGATGAGGGTCCCCAGGGATTCTCGTCTTTCCTGGGCTGGAGCCTCTTGATCTCTGCCATGTTACCTAATGGCTGCTCCTCTCATGGCCGGACTGAGGGGATGAAGCTGGATTTGCCAGGGCAGCCCCAGCACATTTGTGTTAGAAACCTTTTTGCAGGAAGGTGAGGGAGGGTGGCGTGGGTCTGTGGCAGTGGCACTTTTCCCTCTCAGCTCTCCCAGGCAGCCCTTGTGGTGGGAAGACACCACGTAGTGCCTCACAGACTGGGCCAAGCAATGACTGATGATACCTTCAGAGCCTTTCCAGCCTTTGTACCAGTGCACAGCCTCTCTAACTACTAGATGGGCGGTGGATCCCAACGAGGAGCAGGGCTCTCACCAGCCCTACAGCCACCCCGAGGGGCCATGGCACAGGCAGATGGAGCATTACGCAAGGCTGCTCCTCCATGGATGATCTGAGGTGAGGATCACCTCAGGTCTGCTGGCCCTGGAGCAGTAACCACTCCATCACCCACTCTAACTGTGAGGTTGCTGTCTGCTGCCACGTGCTGTGGGTATGAGACCCAGGGAAAGTCCTGTCAGACCACACTTTTCCCTGTAGCCTCCATTGGTTTTGCTATTGGGCTTGAGAAAGCGTAGAACTTAAACTGGGAGTTCCTGCGAAGACTCATCTGTTAAACCCACAAAGTCTGTGTAGTTTTTCCATCTACTCCCACATTCTTGCACCCTGCTCAGCCATGGCAAAGCACAGCGTGGGGCCGACGGCCGATTGCACCCGCTCGCTCACTGTGGCTTAACACTTCCTTTTCTGTTCCTCTGTTTCTGCATCCTGCCTCTTTCCTTTGGGGCAGGGACTGGCCTAATCTTGCAGGTTTGTGTGCTGTCTGGCACAGCAGGACCCTGACACTGTATTTAGGACCGCATCTTCTGGTATAGAATCATAGAAGCGTTTAAGTTGGAAAAGAACTTTAAGGTCATTGTGTCCAACTGTTAACTCAGCACTGCCAGGTCCACCACTAGACCATGTCACTAAGCACCACATCTACATGTTTTTTAAATACCTGTGTCTTTTAAATACATCCAGGGATGATGACTCAAGCACTTCCTGGGGCAGCCTGTTCCAATGATTGACAACCTTTCGGTGAAGAAATTGTTTCCTAGTATCTGATCTAAACCTCCTCTGGTGTAACTTGCCCTGTCACTTGTTACTTGAGTGTCACAGGGTTATTGGGGAAGGGTCTTTGATGCCAGCAAACTGCCCACACCTTGAACAAATGGCCACAGGAGTCTGACTTACAGAAAAATGAGAAAATAACCCAAATGAACAGCAACAACCCTCAAAGTAATAAAATGGAAAGTTTTTGCCTTCCCAAGCCTGAAGTATGTAATGAAGCATGTGTGGGTGCCAGGCGTGTTGTTCTGGGTGCTCAGAGATGAGTCTTGCCACACTGGAGGATGGTGGTGGGGACCAGTGGGCAGCTGAGGAGGTCTGTGGGGCTGCAGAGCAGCGCAGAGCTCGCTGGTGGGGAGGAAGCTGCTTCTGCCTGCAGCGTGCAGAGCCATCATGCCTGGTTTTGACAGTTGCTGCAATTTGTAACAGGAAACCATTTTAGCAAAAACTAGCGAAGGAGGAAACAGAAATTTGAGCGTAGCGTTGCTTGAGATGTTTTTCTCCCAGCCCTTGTTTCATGGTGCTTCAGCTGCAGGTATAACCAAGCCTGTTTTTCAGCTGCCTAGTACCTTGGGGAGGCATTTGTGGAGGTGGAATGGGTTTTACCAGGCTCATAGGTATTCTTGCAGCCTGTACGTGCAGGCAGCAATGATAACAAGTGGAACAGCAGCAGCCTCGTCCCTCTTGTCACCCAACATAAAGCTGCCACAGGACTGCACACAGCGTGCATCCCCCTTGGCTGTGGTCTTTGCCAGGCGCATGTGTGTCTGTCTATGGATGTCCCAGAGCCATAGTCCTTTCATGCTCCCAGTGCTGGAAATGAAAAGCAAACTTGGAAACAGTGACTCAACTGGGGAAAAAAAAAAAAAAAAAAGACCTAGGGGATTTGTAGCAGATAATCGGATGAATACCAAAGCCCATAGAGATGCTGTTGTGAACAAAGGAGCTGGTGTGATTGTAGGCAAGGAGAGAGGTTATGTTGTTGTTGTATCTGCACTTGTGCAGACATGGCTGCAGCCTTGTGACCTGCTTTGGTGTCTGCACTTCCGCAAAAAAGTTGCAAAATTGGATCAAGATTAGAGAAAAGCCAAATAAATGATTAAAGGATTGGAAACAAGGCAGGCAAAGAGTTCAGTCCACTTGCCAGAGCTGAAGCAAAGGTTGTGGGATGTTTTACTGAAATCTTTGAGTATCTGGATGGGAATTTCAATAATAGAGAGTTCTACTGGCTTGCAGATCAGAGCAATAGAACTTGTCTCACAGTTGAAACTAGACAGGCTCTGAGTGGGGAAAAAAGCACTGGGGAGTGCGATTTGCTAATCGAATGACAAGTCAATATTTAAAGGGAGTTCTGTCTCTGCAAATGTTTAAATGCAGTGGCATGTTTTTCTAGGGGACACAAGCTGTAGGTTGGCCACAGCTATTGCACATGGATTAGGTATTAACTGGGGAAGCCCTGTGGATGTGATTATAGAAGCGCTCGGCCGGGGTGACAGCAGCCATCTCTCCGTGCTTGTGCTCTTATAGCAAAAGTGAATGGCAGAGGAGATAAGGGATGTAGAGGTTTGTCCGGAGGTTCCCAGTAGGGTAAGTGCCAGTAGGATATCAGAAACATTTCCTTTTGCTTTTTGTTTTGTGTGTAGCTGGCACCGTTGACAGCTCTGTGGCAGGCTGGGACTGGGCAGGGAACACCGTGTGTGTGGTAAAAGCAGGGAAAAATATTTTTAATGGCACCTTCTTTTTTTGCTGCTTGCAGTGCCACAGCCTGCCTGCGCAGCACTCGATCCTTTCTGGTTCACCTTCGAGAATCCAGTTTGTTGTTTACAGTTTCTAGTGCTGTTCCCTGTGTGTGAGAGGGAAAGCATGTGAGTGTCAGCATCACTCATACCATTCTAACCATGCTGTTTCGAGAGATATTTTTGATAGCGCCGCTTTGCATTTCAGAGCACACGCTTTCACTCGAGGCTGCTAAAGCTGCACTGCAGCACCCAGCTGTGCTCCATCTGAAGCAGTTTTGCATAGAGAAGCAGAGAAAGGCATGGGTGGGGAGTTGGGCTCCTCTTATTTTGCAGTCCTGCTCTGCTGTTGAATCACAGAAGGAGAGATGACACAGAGATGTAGGTTAAATACACAAGAAAAGGAAAACAAGATAAACCAGGATCATGTCTCCTGCAGTGCCGGCTCACCGTGGTTCCAGTTTTGTCCTTTGATATTGCTCAGTCTTCTGGCTGCTGTCTGTCTGTCTATCACTCTCTCTTTTCCTCTGGATTTAGCGTGGAAACTGAACATCCAGAACCATGACCACTCACGTCACGCTAGAGGATGCCTTGTCCAACGTGGACTTACTGGAGGAGCTGCCTCTTCCAGACCAGCAGCCATGCATCGAACCGCCTCCGTCCTCCATCATGTACCAGGTACCTTCAGCTCCCAGAGCTGGTGGGGCAGGGAGGGCTGTTTCAGTAGCTTATGCAAAGCACAGGGGCACTTGGTGCTGTGAGAACTAGCTGAAAGCATCCGGGGTTCACCATGGTTAGAAAACGTTAAAACAGATCTAGGCACAAATCTCTTCCCAAAGCTTTTAAAGGAAAGTGCTAAAGATTGGTGAAAGGGATATCTAAGGCTGAGCAAGACATAGAGATGTTAGAAAATGAGAAGCAGACTGCACCAACGGGTAAGAAGCAGAAGATAGGATTTGTGATAACAGCAGAAAGTTCTCAGCGATGTTTTGTCATGCACGTATTTCTGTGCTTCCTTTTTAGGGTAGTGCATGCATGTAAGTAGGTCAAAATCAAAGTCCTGCCTGACTGTGGCCGGCCTGTGTCACTAGCACAGCTGGAGCTGCTGGTCTGGGGAGCTGATGGCATGCAAGGGAGGGCAGTCGCTACAACCACTTCTCTGCCTCCAACAACCACAGATCTAGCTGCAGCTGTGCTGACCAAGCAAAGCTTGGCATGAGCCCAGGGCAAGGCTCAAACTCCTGCTTTTAGATCCGCAGTGGGATGCCTCAGCTGCTTGGCCACCTCACCACACCCTGCCCTATAGCACACACCCAGGGTTAAATATAATATGGGGTTACTTTCTCCGTCCTGCCACTCCTGAATTCATTACTTACCCGCAGCAGTGTACAAATACACCCGCACAGAGATTGCTGTGTCCTGTATGCAGAGGTCTGAAATTACAGTATCTCTTTCACCAGGTCAGATTTGTGAGCTCGTTCAGTGGTGTATCTCTACAAGTTATCAGAGCCAAAGGCAGTTCAGGGCTGTTCAGATTTCAACTCTCTCTGGAAAATCTTCATATCATTTTTGCTTATCTTTTCTTCAGATTGTGCTGGCTTGTGTCCTGTGAGGGGCTTAAGGTCCAGCCTTATGGCACAGCCTCCTTTAAGGGCCATAAGTGCTTGCACACCCCTGGGCCTAAAAATCTGAACTGGATCTAGAGATACCGATCAAGACTGTTGCCTCTTCCTGCTTCATCTGCAGGGAGCCCTCTCCCCTGCTAGCCAGAAATGCATAGGCAGCCTCAGCTTCTCTTGTCACATGTGACATCCTGGAGGCATTAAGAAGAGTAGCTCCATGGCCATGGGTCTATACTCCCAGTTTTCCAACTCAGAAAATCAGTTACTGAGGTGAAAAACCATGGTTGCTGCAATGCTAATGTCGCTGCAAGGAGGGGCTCTGGGCATCCAGGACTTCTGTAGCCTCTGCCCTCCAGCAGATGCCACCAGCCAGCCTTCGCAGAGGAAATTACCCAAGTACAGAGGGTGTGAACAGGCACTCGGCACAGACACTGAGGAGCTGCTGCTTCATCCCCTGCCCTGCCATGCACTTTCTTGCTCTCCTGTTCCAACCCAAAGCAGTAGCTCAACTTCCAAAACAACTTTTCTTCCCAAAGTATTTGCCTGCAAGAGCAGCACTAGTGCTGATAATAGCATCTGGAAGAGTGCTGAGTTTCATATTTATGTTTTCCAGACATCTCGTTCCCTGCCCTTTGTGTGTGTTTATTCTTTGCAATTCCTGTTGACAGGATGTGGTATTTCCCTAGCAGCCAGGGCACAAATAGAAATTAGTAAGACTGCATCTGTCTTTGAGTTACCAAGCTACAATCCTTAGAATAACTGTTGTAGGTTTGCCCTCTGGTGTAGCTGCAGCTCCCCATAACTGATTCACATCTGGTTTGCCTTGATTTTACAAGGGTTTGTCAGTCTTGATTGCCATATTTTCATACGTAAAATCCACAGGATTTTCTCTAATGCACGTGTGTGAATCTGCTTCAGACCTAGAGGTGCAGTACCTCAATTTGTTTGTAAGCTGTTCCCATGCACCAGAAGCCCAACTGATTCTGCTTTTTGCAACACATCCCATGTGAGGCTGTATCAGGTGAGCAAAAAGCTAGCTGTACTTTAATCTCCATCTCTCTCTGTTTCACCCATAGGCTAATTTTGACACAAACTTTGAAGACAGAAATGCCTTTGTGACCGGCATTGCCAGGTACATCGAGCAGGCAACAGTGCACTCCAGCATGGTGAGTCCCCCAGGCACTGCCCCAGCGATGCTGACCTTGTGGTGTGTGCCCTGCCCCAGCAATCCTCTCTGTTTTTCAGAATGAAATGCTGGAAGAAGGCCACGAGTACGCTGTGATGCTTTACACGTGGAGGAGCTGCTCACGAGCCATCCCTCAGGTATTTAAGCCCTTCCCAGGCAGGGATGTTCGCAGAGCACCTAGTTGGTTTTGTCTTCAGTGTGGGTTAGTTTGGACTGGAGTCAGAAGAACAAAAATGCAGAGAAGACTGAGGCAGATAGAAAGGTTGAGAAGAGACCACTGACTTTTTAAATCATGCTTTCCTAATATCATTGTGTGGCATCATACTATTGCATGGTAAAAGGAACTTCATCTTATTGGTTAAAATTTGCCCCAGTTAAAAATCAGTTAAAAATTGCCCCAGTGCCGACTGAGACTCTTGTGTTGTGTGAAGAAGGGAGCCCAGGCAGCCTGGGATGAAAACAGCAGGATGTCTCAAGATGTGGCAGACTCAGGCTCTCCCTGACTTGCACGGAGCAGGTTAGGCAGTGGGGACAGGTTTCAGCATCCCAGACTGCTGCCCAGACACAGGAGTGCTCTCTCTGCTCCTGTGGGAGCCCTGGAATTGTAGGTGTTGTGCCAGGATATGTGAAGGAACACTTCAATATGCCAGAAATGTTTCCCCAAATGCCCTTTCTTTTTGCTGATATACCCCAGGATCCTGATCTCCCCCTCCTCCTCTACTGCTAGTTCTGCTTCAACTGATTTATAGTCCTTCTCTCTCCAACCTGGATTTTGGTGGCTTCATCCTGCAAACACCTACAGACATGAGTAAGGTTTCCCACATGGCCCACTGATCATGATTCAGACTCCAACTCAGAGCTTGTCTCCCGCAATGTGAACACGTGCTGGAGCACTGCGAAATGCTGACTGACAACGCGTTGAGGCGGGTGCAGTGCGCTTCCATTAACCCTACAGATAAAAGGGTTTGCAGCGCTTCTGCAGAGCCAGAAGAAAATATATTTCCACATGGCTGGCAATGTCCCCATTTGTGATTCCCCAGGAAAGGTCAAACCTCAGTTCCTCTCGGGTTGTACTCTGCTGATGGTCTCATGAGACCCAGCCAGAGGCAGATTTCTGCTGCTGATTGGATATTTGTGTATCTGCCGTTTATATTTGATGCTGCGTTGCTATTGCCTCTCCTGGCTATGCTGATGGAAGGCAAGTTGTGGCTGAGTTGATGGCAAGACAGTGCTAATGATAATCTGTTTTAGCATTTTAGTGTCCTGCCATCCCAGTCCCCGCCACGACGTTGTGCCTCTCCAAGTGCCTCACAGCTAGTGAGGTCTCTGCCCTGTCCTCCTCACCAGGGCTGCAAACAGTGCCACGTGTGACAGAAAAGCAGCCAATGCCTCGGGAGAGGGTTCATTTACAAGATTCACCAGATTTGATCTTGGAATGACCCCTGTGCTTTGCCATGGAGCACATGGCTGCAGCTGGGGGGATCCTATTCTCAGCCCCCCAGCCTGGCTGTGCAGTCATACGCACCTCTCCTTGGTTTTACAGGTGAAGAACAGAGCCTACACCTAAATGTGCATCACTCCTCCCTACCGCGAGCTGCATCCTCATGCCCATCAACATTGCCTGACTGTCGTATGAAACACCAGGGCAGGGACATCACATTCCCCATGACAGAGAAGGCAAAGCTACTTTGGCAGCTGATTTGTTCCCTTGCACCCTGTGGGATCAGCTGCTGGGCTACTAAATTCGCACTAGAGACGTCAGCCCCTTCACAACCTTGTGTCAGCAATAACTGAAAACAAAAGCAGAGGGAGACAGCAAGATGCATTGCCTTGGGCAACTGGGGTTTTCCCTAAAAGTTTGGTAATGACACGAAGTAACTGTTCAGAAATGAGATAGATGACAGCTGAGTAAGTCCTTAAATCTAGCCTTCTAGGATGCCAGTGAAGGTGACTCATTTCATAGCTGCTAGCCACATACAAGCCCAGTGATTTTTAACGGGTCAGCAACAGGACCAAAATTATCATAGCGAGGCTATAGCAGATCCGTAGCATGATGCCTTGTGACTTCGTACACCAAGTCTCAGATAACTTCATGATGTAACATTCCCACATTGGGTAACAAGTCCAGACTCCATACTGCATGTGTTCTACCCTAGACAAATGCATTACAAGACTTACTTCTGAGAATGAGGATTGTACCTGTTTATAATGCACGGAAGAATTTCACCCTTGAGAACTATCGCCTTCTGCTCTCACCCACTGCCTTGAGAACAAACTCCCTCTTGGGTCCCTCTTGTCCTCACGCAGGGACAGGATTCCATGTGATACAAGCAAAAGATGGATGGCAGTCCACAGCCGTGTTAGAAATTCCGATGCTGACAAGGACGATTTGTCTTTGCAACACAGGTCAAATGTAACGAACAGCCAAACCGAGTGGAGATTTATGAGAAGACGGTGGAAGTCCTGGAGCCAGAAGTCACCAAGCTTATGAAGTTCATGTATTTTCAGGTAAGTGGTCAAAGAGAGAGACAAAAATAATTGATTACTTTGGTGTTACCATATCCTAAGCAGGGCTGTGCTATCCTTGACTGCCAGGCCAGCTTGGAGACCCCCCCCCTTGATACGTCTCTTCCTTGCAGCCACCAGCAGATCCCTGAGACCTGTCTGAAGGAAAATCTGTGTGTCCCTTGCTTAGCCCGTGAATACAAGTAGGGAACGAGCATGCCCGTAACACTGCTTCATTTCATAGTGACAGTGGAAGAGGGACCGTGGAGCCTCCATCCGCAGCAGAAACATTATTTTGTTAAGGGAAGGAGGCGGTGGGTGGAGGGGGGTCCCAGCGGTGGTGCAGTGACCATGCATGAGCCACTGCTGGGCTGACCCTGTCCTGCTGCCTGCCAGCGCAAAGCTATCGAGCGGTTCTGCAGCGAGGTGAAGCGCCTGTGCCATGCTGAGCGGAGGAAGGACTTCGTCTCCGAGGCCTATCTCCTTACACTGGGCAAATTCATTAACATGTTCGCTGTCCTGGATGAGCTGAAGAACATGAAGTGCAGCGTCAAAAATGACCATTCTGCCTACAAAAGGTAAGAGGGGGTGAAGCAGCAGGCGTGGGGACAGGTGGTGGGCCCAGCATTGAGGTCAGGTGGATGTCAGGAGGCTGGAGGTTGGGTGTCTGCGCTGTTATCGGCTCTCTTTGTGAGTTTAGGCAAATCTCTGAGCCCTGTTCTGTTTTGATTCCCTCTTGGTAAGACGAGGAAAGAGCAGAGCTGTACTGTAGGGGTGTCTGAGGCTGCAGGTCAGACAGGGAAGATGAGTGGTGAGAGTCTCGCAGTGGGTGAGTGATCCTTGGTGATGTCGGATTTCTTTCTTCCAGGGCTGCTCAGTTTCTGAGGAAGATGGCAGATCCCCAATCCATCCAGGAGTCCCAGAACCTCTCCATGTTTCTGGCAAACCACAACCGCATCACACAGGCAGGTCCCTTTTCTCTGAACCACTTAACCTTTCCATGAGTAGAGAGAGGCAATGATCTTGCCAAGCCGACAGCACTTCAGACCGGAATGTGGCAGTAGCTGTCGGGTCATTGCCACTGACTGATGGTCTTTTGGTCAGGCTGTATAATTCCAGTAATATCTCGTGGGTCATCCTGCGTGGCTTTACAGGTCTCTAGGTCAAGACAAAGATTAAGGTCTAAAAGATGCATGGAGAGCTCTTGGAGGAGGAGGTTCTGCCAAAACCTCTTCCCTTGTTTTCCCCAGGAAATCCACCCAGGCCATCTCTGTAACTACAAGGGGACTGCAGATCACACCCCATGGCCCTCCACATCCCACAAACTATAGCTTCTGCCAGTTAGGTAAAATATTGCAGAGACAGGAGAGAGAAGGTCTGCTTCTGAGGCATCTTTCTTTACATCTCACTGTCTGATATTTGGCTGTTGTGATCAATCTGAAGGGAAAAGCTGTCCTGCAGAGGGAAGGTTGTTCCTTATAGGTAGGACCATGAGGTGAATCTTCTGCCAGTAACTTAAGAAAGGCACACAGATGAGGTTTGAATAAATCTCTTATCATTCTACTGTTAATCCTTTAAATATGTTTCTCCCGTTTTCTGCTGTTCCTCTGTTCATGTGGATAATGTGCCTCTGTTGATGTTTCAGTGTCTGCACCAACAACTAGAGGTTATCCCTGGCTATGAAGAATTGCTGGCTGATATTGTCAACATCTGTGTGGATTACTATGAAAACAAGATGTATCTCACTCCCAGTGAGAAACACATGCTCCTAAAGGTGAGGTTCAAACACGCTTAAGGGGCTGGGTGCTTGCATAGTTTCACTTTTGTTTTAGTAAAATGAAATTCCTTCCCAGGACAATGTTTCTTTTATTTTTCTTTATTTTTTGCTCCTTTGGGTTTCCATGCATCCCTTCTCTGCAGAGCCAGCATCCTCTGGACACACAAGTTGCTATGAGATGGGAAGGCTCCTTGCATGCAGCAGCAAAACTGCCTTCCTCTTCTTCCTGTTTCCCTTCTGATCTCTTTTACTTTGTGTCTTCTGCTGTGATTCCTCAGTCCTCCCATTTGTGTCAGAGATGTCCCAACCTAGTGCTCTGAAGCAGCACCTCTGCTGGGCAGTGCCATTTACTTCCTCTCTTCCTGCTGTAATTTGGACCTTCTGTCATTTCTCTGCTGTCCTTTCTGGATTTCTCTTATATTCCCATATAAAAATCTTCCTTCCTCTCTCGTTTTCCTCTGCTCTTCCCCATCTCCATCTCTGTATCTTTTCCCCAAGTTGTGCCCACGGTTGCCAGCAGCTCTGCCTGCCTGGAACTAAGCTCATGCGTGACGGTGGTCTCTAGTTGGTGGATGAGAGCACTGGTGGGTGCCCTGCACTCTCCAGAGCTGGAAGACATTTTTCTGTTGTAAATGGATGTGTGGGATCACGGGCTTGAGCTGAGTAACTGCCAAAATCACCACCAACTTTGCAACCTTTAATTTTCTTCTTAATAGTCATTCCCAGCAGTGATTCTCTGCAGAAGGCAGATCCTTACAGGTTTGGTTTCCTGACTCTAAACATCTCTCAAGATGAACATGCCAAAGTATCTTCTTGTTTTGTACATTTGTCCTTACTGTCAGTCAGTTATTACAGTGATTGCAGTCACTATTACCCTGAGAATCCATTCATTACCAGAGTATGAGTCAACTAAGGTTCTTTGAAGGATAATGTGAGTAGTTTGAATATCCATGGTGATTTGTGCTGAATTAAAGGGGAAAAAAAATCAATCCAAGAGAACATTTTAAATGTTTTCAATTCTTCTGCAGGAGTAAATGTTTGCCTTTGGGTGGAGAAGACTTTTAAGTTGTTGTTACGTGGGAGAGAGGCGAAACAAGTTTGCAAAGTGAGCGTCCTGTGTTTTTGCACAGAAAACAGAAGCAATCCATTGTGTGTCCTCTGTCTGCCATATACATCTTTGCAGATATGTGCATGTTTTATACAGTCTTTCCATGAGTGTCAGGTGCTATAAGTGGTCTTTTCTGATGCAAGGTGATGGAGAACCATCTTTGGCTTGTGCTGCTGACTTCATACAAGTGAAACCTAGCCTTTCTGTTTTCTCCAGGTGATGGGGTTTGGCCTGTATCTCATGGATGGGAATGTCAGCAACATTTACAAGTTGGATGCCAAGAAGAGAATCAACCTTAGCAAAATAGACAAATTCTTCAAGGTCAGTGACCTGTCTGCATGAGGCTGGAGTTTACTGCAGAGCAATGAGTAAGCAACCCATACCATGGCACACACTACCAGCAAAAAAACCAAACTGCAGGAATCATTTACAGGTCCCAAAAAACCCAAAGAGTTGAGAAATTATTTAGGTCGAAGGATGAGGAATGAGATTGCTGTGAATGTGCACCACGGGCAAAATGAGTGACACTGGCCCTTGGTGCCAGCAAGGCTGGGGCTGGGTGGGCAGAACCTGGGGCTGGCTGTGCTCCCGTGGTGCTGGAGCTGGTGGGAGCTGAGGACCCTGCACGTCCTCGCTGGGCTGCCGCTATGGCTCTGCCTGCTCCCTGCCAAGGGGTGAAAGACAGGGATGGCATGTGGGCCGTCTGTTTTGTCAACAAGGGAAAGGTGTGCCACACTGACCTCATTTCTACCTCTTCACGCATTTCTGAGGCAGGTTTGCAGGCTCCTGAGGAGCACCATGTTTTCAGGCCACTGGCAAACCTGGCTGCTTTGCTGAGGTCTGTGTGGGTGGTGGTTGTGCTTCCCTTTCCCCCAGTGAGCTGCTGAGCTGAGGGATGGGGACACAGCTGGCTGGACAGTGTGTAATTTGGCAGTCGTCTTTTGCGTATAAACTGTGCTCCCTGTAGGACAGAAAAAGCTGCTTGGGGACCTTGTGTCAACCTGGGACTTGGAGGTGCTCAGCAAGTTCCTCAAAGGGTTCACCTGGTGCTTTCATGAAGCATTTTTATCTTATCTGAGATCCGGGTTTTGGTGAAAGGCCTGCAAGAACTCACAAGCCCTGGCAGTGGGAAATGATGCCTCCTTCCCATTGCTTCTGCACACAGGCTGGGGCTAGAAACCACTTGAGGTTTGGGGCAGGTCAGCTATAGAAGGCACGGTGGGATCTGGCAAGGGATGGATGTATTGGCAGCAAAGAGTGACAGTATAGCAGGACAGCAGAATCACTTCCCAGATGAAGCAACTAGTTTTCTTTTAGACCTACTGAGTTTGAGCAGTTCTTCCAGAGTCCTTTTGTCTCCACTATATTAATCTTTCTCCTGAGATGGGAAGGTTAGGTTTTGTTACCAACATATGCTCCACATCAGGGAAGATGAGAAGATTCTGATTTTGGAGAAGGCACAGAGCACTTCTTCCCCATCACTCTTTCAGCAAAGTGGATTGTCCCTGCCACTGTGCCACGGGAGCTGCTGAGAGGCTTGAAAGAAGAGGTTGGTTGTGGTGATGGGGTAGAGGATGCCTCCATGCTTATTGCCCCAACTTGCAGGTTATAGGTGTTGCACTGGGTCTGTGCAAGGGGAGGGAACGGGTGACCCCAGATAGCTGGTTTCATGCCAGCCTTGGTGTACCAGCTGTTGCATCCTCACCCTGAGCGAGCAGGGACTTATTTACCCCTATTTGCATCATCTCCTGGAGACAGCTCTGAGAGTAGGGCTGAAACGCCAACATGGGGACCATGGACAGACACCGTAACCTTATAGCTGGAGTGATAATGAGGTGGTTGAACACCCTGCAGTCACTGCTGAGGACTGCAGCTCTGCAAAGGTGATTTATCATGCCATCCCTTGGAGTTTTCCAAGTTTTCCCTGGTTCAGCTTTGCCAATTCAGCTGAATCTCAGTTTAAAGCAAGCCCTCAGTGTAATCTGTAGGGTTTGATTATCTTGGTGCATTCAAACAGATTTGTTGTTTATTGCAATGTGCTGTGGACCATCAGAGAATCAGGCAGAATATCTTCATTACTTGGAACAACTTTCTCCTGTCCAGCTTTTTTTTCCATTCGCACTTCTCTAACATTTGCTGTGGTCTTACTTCATCAGTTAAGTACCACTCCAGACTACCACATCTCAGTAAGAAAAAGCCAACTACTCTTACTACATCTGTTTATTGCCTTCTGATTAAATTTCTAGTGGATTGACCAGGAATTTGAGTAGTGAACTATTCCTTCATTTAAACCTTTTATGAAAGTGCCACTGGGAATCCCTGATGACAGCATTACACATCCTCCACCCAAGTCAGCCTGAGAAGCATGTGATAATGAGACAGGGAGTTCCTGAATTTTGGCTTTTTTAGCTTGGTGAAGTTGAAGCTTCATGTTTTATTGAGGAAATGTTGGTAGCTCTTGCTTGAATTTCATTTGCAGCAGCTGAAAGCTTAGTGAAGCTGAAAGCTTAGTCTGAGCATGAGGTATGTTCAGTGTACTTCGAATTTATTTCCCATCCAAATCCTCCTGAGGTGTAAAGGGCAAACAAAGCCTTTGTCTTTCTCTTTGTGGAGAAGTTTTAAGACACATCACAAGCAGGCACAGTGCTAAAGTACAGTCTGAGTCCCTGGGGAAAGATACCACATCCCTGGGAGTCCAGGCATCAAAGCAGCCTACAGCTGCCCAACTTTCCACCAAAATACCAACATGCTGGCTTTTCATCCCTCTGTGCTCTTGGAGGATTATGATGGGAGGCAGTTAAGTCCTGCTCAGGAGCACACTTCTCTCTTCTTGCTGTAAAGAGCCTTTCCTCTGGCTGGTTACAGCACTGGACCATTCTGGCCATAACCAGCCCGGTATTGGCGAGTCTGCGGCTCCAGAGCACTCACAGAGGGTGGTTTTCCTCACACAAAAAGCCTCATGATCATTTTCAGTCGCTTCCTAGGTGTGAAATGACCCTGGGTCCAGGTTGCACCTTGCTTTAAACAGCCTGACACTTTCCATAGCTTCAGAGACGCAGGATGCGGTTTCATAGTCCCATGCGTTGCACTGGGGCAACGGGCTCTCTCTCCGCCGTGTTTCAACCATCTTTTGTTTTCTTTTCCAGCAGCTGCAGGTGGTTCCTTTATTCGGCGATATGCAGATAGAACTGGCCAGATACATTAAGACCAGTGCTCACTATGAGGAGAACAAATCCAAGTGAGTGCCTGCCATAATGTCTCTTGGCTTCTGTGTGTGTCCCGAAAGCCGTGGGAGCTCCAACTCTCCGGCGTGCGTGAGGTCTGTGCCATGGGTACCCGTGTGTGTCCCTGTGAGGTGTGAGTCCTGGCGTGCCAGCTCTGTGTGCGCGTGTGTCCCTCCCTGTCCCTGCATGGGAAGATGTCCTTGCTGGCCCCTGAGCTCGTGCGTGTGCAGCCAGCTCTGAATTTCTGTGTAACCATGACCCTGTGTGCAGGCAGGGTGTGGGCATGCCTGTACATCTGGCGAGGGCTGGCTTGGTGGCCGGTGGCAAGGCAGGAGGAAGGCAAGGCAGCCGGCGTGTGGGTCGGGGCAGATGCTGAGTGCTTGTGAGGTGTGCACGCCTGGAGGAGTGTGAGTGCGAGCGACGTGTCCCTGCTCTGGAGAGATTTTAATCCACATTTTTTCACCTCAAGGACAAAATCCTCCAGAGTGTGAACACAGCAGTGGATCTCTTTGCGGTAGCCAGGGCATCTCCTCTAGCTCAGGCAGGTTTTGTGAGGAAGGGTAGTGGGAATGAGAGTTGAACCAAGGGCTCACGTGCACTGGAAATGAATGAATATTGCGGGAGAAGGGAAGAAATGCAGTCTTTCTGGGAGAGCTCAGGAGTAGTGTGGCAGTGTGAGGTGCTGCTTCCGAGCCTGGGTTCACAGCAGGTCGCTGTTCCCACTGGATGAATTTGCAGATGTTGTTTCAGATCACACCAGGCGTGTGCGAGGCCCCACTTGACTTTGGAGCTTTGCATTGCCCTCCATTGCTGCTAGAAGAATGGGTGTTAGGTTTGGATACCCTTGGAGTGGTGTTGGCAGTCACACGTACGCAAAGCCTGCCTGGCTGTAGTGGCTGAGGGCAGCCCAGCTTTCACCAGCGAGTGGCCTTTCACCCCTGCGACTGTATCGTGTGGAAGCCAGATTTCTCCGGCACCTGTGAGAAGCAGCCTGGCCGAGCTGGCTCTTCA